TTTCTCGAGCATTATTGGAAACAATCAAATCTACTATCCAGGATTATCAGGATCTGCATTTATAGCACTACAATATATATAATTAATTTTGAGATGCGTTAACTGACTTTTAATAATTAAAAAAACGTGTTTTTTCAATTTTATTTTTATTCTCATTCTAAGAATGGTTTTAAAAATCTAGAGAAATTCTAAAAGATCAAAAACACGTTAGTTGTAAGAAATATTTTTTTCATATTTTTTCCTTGCTCAATTCTATTTTGTATCATTTAATCTTTTTTCCAATGCACTTGGATGTGTACAGATTTTTCTACTACTCTGAGAAAATTAGAGATGACTGTACTCTGAATTCCTTTAAAAAGATTCAAGATAATGATATGAAATTTTACCCAGCATTATCTTTTTGAGTTATAAGTATGTCAAAAAGTTGGTGCCTTGAAATTCGTTGAGGGCAGATTCACTATGCCTACCCGGCTAGACCCTTTTATAAGAGTTAACATTTATAAAGTCAATGACTTTTTACTCATATGTGCTACTGGCTAACTAATATATATTCCATAACATTGCCATGAATATTAGAAGAAGCAGTGGAAATAATCGAGTCATGTTTGTAAAAAAACCGATTGTGATAAAAAATTTTTAAAATCGAAATTGAAATGCTCCGCAACAAATGTATAATAGAAGAATTGAATAATACTCTATTTTTCTAGCTATTTTTCAGCTCAAATTTTTGAAAATTATCCCTTCTTTTTTTTCATTCCATCAAGAAAGCGAACAAAAAATTTTATTCAAATATATTGGCATTGTTTCCCTTAAAAAATGCCCTGCCGATGTAATTCTTCTAAAAATATAAATTAATGCCTTTATTCACCCTTCACAGTTGTAGAGAGATTTTGATCAGAACAAATGACATCGTTAGCTCTAGTAATTTCTGCCTCTGCAGCTTTCGAATCTCTCAGTTTAATATGACAATGGGCTGCTCTCAAATGAACTTTATGCATAAGTTTTTTTGGATATCCTGTTTCAATGGCCACTTCAATATCCCTGAGGCACTCTTCGTACCTGCACATGTGAAATAAACATGCAGATCTGTTGGCTATCGCCACTGAAAAATCGTCCCCATTCATTGAGGAAAATTTCGCACTCTCTGTGTACGCTGAAAAACTTTTGGGGTAGTCTCCCTTCTTGAAAAAATTATTTCCAACGTTTTTTGAATCTTTGGCATGTTTCGAGGATTTTGATGATTTTTGTTTGCGCTGGTCGTCTAGCCATAAGGAAATCAAATCAGCGATATTGTGATTGTTCGAAATAACGGACATAATTTCACGTTCCGTCTTCGACTTGTACATTTTTTTATTTGAGTTTGTAGAGCGAAGGTTACGGTCAATCACTTGAACGAACTTCTCCCAATGCATTTTCAATTTTTAAATGTGGTAATTAATATGAAGTAAAAGATCGAACTATTAAACTATGTTAAAATTACACGATTCATTGTTGATGTTTTTATGGATTGAGGGGATTGAGGGACTTCTAACCTCAAAAATTGAACATTTTAAATACATTTCCGGTTCAGTTCCGAGTCGTCTACTCTAACTTCTACTTTATTACTTTGAATGCTTTGAATGCATGAAAATTAGACTTTTTTGTAAAGACTATACAACATGCTTTAGAAGTAATTTTTCCATCAATTTGGTCTGTAAAATGAAAAACTTGGTCACTAAAAAATTACAAAATTACCTTTGTTAGAAATTCTTTTAAAATTTTGGTTTTCTGTACTGAGTAATTACACGGCGATTTCAATCATTACGCATTCATTAATTTTTGAGATTTAAGGTTTTTTTGACGCGAGTATCGCGGCAATGATAAATTTGATTTTGAAAAATATATATTTAAAGATCTTTTTTATTTAGATCAGCAAGTTACGTTACATTTCCTTGAAGGATCTTTTCCAGTCTAAAACATATCGACATTTAGTGACACAATTCATTCTCATCGAGTAAGGGTCATCACAAATAAACAGATAAATAACAATTAATGAACCAATTCTCATGTAATTCATAAGTATTATTTAAAAAAAATAATATTCCTATGACAATCAATAATAAACATTACAACAAACGTAATTTACAGTATATACAGACAATAATTTATCATGGGTCTAATGAAAACTATAATAATATATTGATAGCAAACCACTTTTTTCCCTCACTTTAACGTGTCAATTATATTTTCTCAATTGATTCTGTTTTATAAAGGTAATAAGCATAACAATCTCTCTTTCAACAAAGAAAAAAAATTTTAAAATATTAAAAACTCTGCATTAATACAGTTTTTCAAGACCCAATCCAAAGGCCTATTCTGTTAACTCGCTTAAGTTGCTTTTATTGCAAAATCTAGCACATTTTTTTACTTACTGAAACATTTGTATAGAAAGCCGATTGAATTCTATTCTTGATAACTAATAAATGAACCTGCAGCAATTCTGTGGGAAGAAACAGGAGATGAGTGAATAATATGAATTCATAAATAATAGTTTACGGCTCGCGAAAATAAGTTTTTGAAGGAAAATGCCGAAAGACCATTTTTATCAGATTTTAAAATCTTTTACGTATAAACAAGTCCTTCAAATCGACTAGAAAAATCTCATGTGCGAAGTATAGAAAAATGAGAAAATCCTGTTTCATCCCCTGTCATTAACCAAATCTATAAATTACTTAATTTTTGCCTTATCATAAGTGAAAGAGAAGCTCAGTCTGTCCAAGTGATAGAAATTCTCAATTCGTTCTTTCACTAATTATTGTTGTCGGATTGACATAACGAAGTGAGTATATCCTCGTACTTATGCATGTTTGTCTCAAACGTCTCCAATTGCTTCGTCAAGTCGCCAACTTGATCTGATAATGTTTGTTCTTCCATAAAGGCCTGAAGCTGAGGGGCACTCTGGCATTCTCTGTAGAAGGCACCCAGATCGCTGTTTGTGTTTGTGCCGGCAAATGGAGTTTTCTAGAGAATAACAATTCATTTCAACCAAATATCATTTTCAGTAACATCTAAGTGCTGGCAATACATTCCCGTGCGTGAAACTAATTCAAAAAAAAAACATTGCGAGATATTGAATATAAAATGTAATTTTCCATTTGACACGTCAATGTCGGGTAGATCACCGAATATTCAATCAAAGTAATCTAGTGAATTTTTCTTTGGGCTTTCATGTTTATCTTAAATATTGCGTGGTTTAATCCCTGTATTAAAGACAATTGACAATCTAAGTTCTTTCATCAATCTTTCTATCAATCATGAATTAATTATTATCAAAGAAGAAGCAATAATCATCAAATTATGAAAGCAATCAATCAATTAAGGGAAATAACAGTGCAAAGTGATAGAGGTTAATTTGTACAGCTCAAAAAGTGCCTCAAAATAATAGAAAGAAAATGTAGTGGCAAGTTTGAGCATATTAACGTAATTACCAAGTCTACCATAATGAAATCGTCATTGGCACTGGTTATGGAGCAGCTGCTCCGTCTAGAGCCATTCCTGGAGTTACATTTCGACGTAGCATTATCAATTATTGTTTTGTCGTTTCCATTATGATTATCAGATGTTATTGCACTGATGCTGCTAGCAGAAGGAGCTGGAATCGGTGGAGATGCTGTGGTAGCACTTGTAGGTGCACTTGCTGTCTCCGCTGGTGGTCCCGGCGGTGGTGATGTTTGTCTAGGTATCAGAAGTGAACTGAATGGGACATCGGGGATTACCAGATCTTCCTCATTCACTACTACTTGTTTATTTATCACAAATGCTCCCACTTTTATTGTATCGCTCAACGATTTTGATGTTTCTTCACTGGAAAAAGGAAGAAAAGAATAGCTCAGGGCAAAATTGTTTGAAGTTTCTCTTGTAAAGCCTGACAATTTTTATACGAAAATATGTTATAGACGATAGAAGCGAAAACAATTATTGTTATCATTTGGATATAATAAATATACGAAATGCTTCGAGAGTTATTGAAAATAAAAATTCAATGATTTCCATTTTATTCTGTGTTTCATTGTGCCTCAGTTTCATTTTGCTCCACTCTCTATTATGTTAATCCATTAATCATCAGTTTTATTTACCTTTGTTGATATCTAGCATGTCTAGGGCTTAAATCCGAATGAAAATGATCACTCTTGAGCATAATGGAATCTCTGCTTGTGTGAGTGGGTGATATCGTCATTTTAGTTCTGTATGACACTGATAAATGTATCGTACCAACGGGTGTACATAATTGGCCTACCCTAACGTGTTTATAATTATCTCCTGTGAACAAAAATGCATGCGATTATATACCTTCTGTACAATAACTAATTTGAATGTTACTCAATTTCTTTCACTCTACTCTCAATATGAGAATGAGTGCTTTTTCAATTATCAATAACTTTGAATTTAATGGACATGATAATTTTTCATCTTCTTCATCTACAGCAGATACGAGGAAAAGAAAAACAGAGACATATCCAGAATATTCAAAAATATTTATATAATCAATTAAAAATAACATCAAATTGCTGTTCATATTTACCTAACGTGTGTAACTGAGGTTCTCCCATATAAATTCTGTAGCAAATAACGTAAGAATCGGGTCCTTGTCGTCTACTTAATTTATAAGCCGGTGTGACTCTCGAAACAGACACCAATGATTTTAATAAAATTCCCATTCGATTGTATACGGTATAGGTGACTCTGATGGTGGGATCGTTTTGTTCCGGTAAAACTCCCAGACTCCAGGTTTCTAGGACCATCGTGTCACCTTCCACAGTCCTCAAGGAAATTTCAATGCAAAGAGGGATCGCAGAACTCACTATTTCTGCACAGAGAACTCTTTTGGCTTCTGCTAGGACTTCGGGAAGATCGGGAACTGCCAGATTGAACTAAAACCATCACAGCCTATTGTATTCATGGAATTTAGATGCATGTTCATATTAAGGCGCGCATGTACTATCAACCGAACGTAATCATTGATTTGAATTTTATCTTGTCAGTGTAAAATATTTCTAAATACGGGTTATAAATTGAGTTGCAGAGTTGAAAAATGCGTAAATGCACTCAAATTAAAAGGAAAGGATTGGTAGAACAATCCGTTTTTCAAAATCAGTTCTTATTAAATATCTTGAAATTTATGAAAGATATTAAGATTTTCCGAACTCCTTTCTCTTGTTCTCAATTATCTTCTACAAAGAGGAATCTCATAAATATTGCACAGTCTCTGTTCAGTATTTATTTTTGAACAAGATATGGAGCTGACAGAGATGCTCAAATTTTCTTAAAGAACAACCTTACATTTTTTTTTCATTCTATAAATTAACAAAAAATATCATGATTTGATCCTTTCACTAATCAACACAACAGACACTGAAATTATTATAAAATATGTTGTGATAACACAATATCTTAAAATTATGGTAAAATCTATGCGTACCACATAGAAATGTTACATAGAAGTTGTTACGTTTTTATTATGCACAATTACTATATTATTACTATATTACTATATTTATTTACCCAATCAGCTGCAGACGAGTCTGGTTTGCATTTTGTAATGACCTTCTCTCCTGATCTGGACTGCACAATAATCTGAGCAGCCTTGAGTGCCAAAAACTTCATAAATTTATCCAAATCCTTCTTGTCCTGCATACTGAGCTTCATGTTCGACATATCTCTCAAGACTAGTTTGACGTCAATTTATATTTCCTTGTGTGTGGCAGTAATATTGACAAGATGAAGACGTCAATGGCCACAACATCCTAGGTCATGTGACCCCCGGAGAACTTTCCTCTTCCTTATTTATTTCTCGTGTCGTTCAAGTGATTGGAAGTCGATTAGAACAACTTTATCAGGATTTAGATGCAGTAGAGAAGTGATGTTTGAGAGACAGACACTTGATTCACGTGCTGGCAAACATTTAGCGTCAATAGGAACGCGATGACTATTCGATTAGGCGAATGAGAAAAAAAATCGTTGTTATTTACTTTGACAACGGCACTTCTCAGATCGACTCACTGGCGCCTTGACTATCACTGTGCAATAATAATTCACTATCAGTGATACTTATGCTCAGATGTAAAATGCCAGTGGAATACTGACGCCATGTTTTACGCTAATGACTGTAATCGCATTTACCGCATACCAAAGTACATTTTTTCTTACCGTTAGGGATAGGGGCGGAAATTTATTCCTGGAAATAGTCTTTATCCAATGAGTCACGGGAGAGGTTTGAAAAGAGTGGAAATGCCAAGAGATGGCGGTTGTGTAGACTGATGATCGAAAAAGCGCCATAAAAGCAATGGTACTTACTAGACAATGATTTCCCGAAGTCTATATTTCTATATAGTACATATGGTTGTAAATGATTTAAAAACATGGATACTAATAAATAATTGTTTGCAAATGAGGAAATTTAAATCCCATTTCTTACTCCGCTGGTAATTTTTATTTTCAATCTTTCTAATCTTAAATGAGGCGATGATTATTTTAGGAATCATTACAGCCGACTTCAGAAATCATTTTCATTCTTTTAACTTCAAATAAAGTATTTTACAAAAAATCATCAATTTCTCCACTTGCAAGACACCGACGGAGCCACATCATGATCGAATATTAACCATACCGAGAGGGCAGGAGCAATAGTATATTGTGCACCACGAGAGGAAGACATGGACTCCAGATAATTAACACCACGTAATTAAAAATTAATTAATTTCTTAATTTCGGTCATTTGAAGGTACCTTGTAGAGTATTACTCCTTGGATCATTTACGTTGGTGGTCAATATTTATTTTTTTATTAATTAAAAACATTTTTTTGAAAAAGTCAGCACCCTGTTTTTCATTATTTAATTGAAAGTCAGAATCAACCTTGTCAATAGATTCAAAATCGATTGTAGGTCATATATAGTCTATTGTCATTAGTCTATCACTCATCATTAATGGTGTATTAATGAATTACAGAATAGTATTCTAGCAGACGAGCGCGCATTCATACCACGTCAATTTTCATCTATTGTCAATCATTTTTATGTTCAATTTAAGGAGGATGATTACCCATTTTTTAAATAAAAAAAAACATTGTAATTGATGGCTTATTATATATCATGGAAGAATATATTTCGGGACAGGGATGAATTCATGGACTGTTAAACTATTATGCTAATAACAAAATGTATTTACTAAAAAAGTACGCAGACAACTGATTGTTTATTAATTTACGAATCCAATTATGTTTTTTAGAGTCGATTGTTATTCAATGCATTAACATTTTAAGCGCTGCACATTATCTCATCGGCAAAATCATTCCGGTTCCATAACGCATCCCCCCACGGTATGAAGTTCGAATGTTTGTCCAAGGTTCATTGAGTTTGGCCACAAAAAATCTACTTGTAGAAAAAATTATTGATAACCTTCCTTAAGTGATGCAAAAAAACGACGAAGAGTGAGGTATGACGTGCTCTGAAGGGCCAACATTCTCGGCAACATTTGTTCCATCATTTGCATCAGCAACAAATAGAGCTGTGAGCTGTACGCTTGGTTTTATTTATGACGTTCGCAAATTCTGTTCCATCTTTTGACGGTTACTCTACGATTAAAATTAAATTAGAAACACCAGTGAACACCAATGAGAAATATTCGTTTTGAATTTGCCATGTTCCGATGACTCAGAGAAGAAAATTGATAAAACGACGAATTAATGAAGGTGCCCTGATGGTTCATACCCAGAGTCCAACTCTGGGTTGTGTCCAGCAACCCAGTCTGGGTTAGGCGAAAACACAGAGTTGAGGTTAAATGGTGAATTTGGGGGAGATCTAAACGCAGGGTGTACTATGATCTTTTTCCGATTGTTGCTGAGTTATTTTAAGCATATAATGATATTGTTGAAGGATGTGGATAATTAAATGAATATGTTTGAATGCTAATGTGCTAGCTCTGGGTAAAATCCAAAACCCAGACAGATGATTTTTATTCATTAACGAGGTAACAATGTTGGTGAACAATTCTGGGGATAACTGTATGTTCAGAGCGACTGTGGGAGGTGTATTAAAATAAGGGGAAGGGTGGCAACGATTGTTTGAGGGATGAGATGCCAACTCTGGGTCAACACTCGGTCACAGTCTCCATCTCAGAGTTGTCTTTCCCTTTATTTAATATCTTTTTAATATCGGGAAAAAAAATAGGCGTGAATATAAAGAATCATTTAACCATTGGAATGATTCTAGGGTCACCTAGACGTGCGGAGGCGACTTGGCATATATTTAAAGTGAAAAATATCAACTCTGGGTCAACACTGGGTCACAGTCTCCATCCCAGAGTTGTCTTTCTCCTTATTTAATTTTTTTCCATATCGGGAAATAAAAAATAGGGGTTAATAAAAAAATCATTTAACCATTTGATTGATTCTAGGGTCACCTAGTCGTGCGGAGGCGACTTGGAATATATTTAAAGTGAAAACTATCAACTCTGGGTCAAGACTGGGTTACAGTCCCCAACCCAGAGTTGCCTTTCTCTTTATTTAATTTTTTCCAATATCGGGAAATAAAAAATAGGGGTGAATAAAA